TCAAAAAAATTGGGAAAAAATGCCAAGAAATTGATACTTAATGTATAGAATTATAATTCTATACATTAAATATCAATTTCTTGGCATTTTTTCCCAATTTTTTTGATTGTTCAAGTGCACATACTTATAATTAATATCATTTGATTATAATATATAATATATACAAGAATATATTCTTGTCAAAGACTTAATAAAATTATAATTCTATACATTAAATATCAATTTCTTGGCATTTTTTCCCAATTTTTTTGATTGTTCAAGTGCACATACTTATAATTAATATCATTTGATTATAAGTCAGTTCAATATTAAAACTACATGTTTTGAAAAGAATTCTTGAAATTACAATAAAAAATAACAGGAAAACCAAGATATGATGCTTAACATATTGAAGAACTAAACTAATCATACAATAATAATAATTATATAAATAATCTATATACCATTCCATAATAGATCATTTTTATTTAGTTGCAATATGAATTGAATTCTGTTCATGTCAGATTTTTGTTTCATGAATAGAAATAATTAGAAATAGTTTTACTTACTAGTTTTGTCAAATAATTTTGATTGATCAATGTTCGATAAAATTTTATTAAAAAACTTTAAAATATCCAACATTTCTAATACTCAACAGTATTTTTATTAAAACTCTTTTTACATTATTTTGTAGTTTCCTGGTCAATTCATGCCAACTTCCAAATTTTATTTGCTTGTTCATTCGATTCATATGATGATTATTTGAAAATCTCCAACTTGGGTGAAAACAAAATACCATTTATCACTTTTTTATTTAAATTGGTCAAATTGTATTGTTTTATTGAAAATAAATAGTCCGATTTATCGATTCATTAAAATTCTATTCATTAAATTTCGAGCAAGTTTTGATTGTTTTTTTTAATATGAAAACAAAATGATCTTGCCTCTGGTGCAGTAGTAAAAATTTATCTCAGTTACCACTGAACACAATTATCTTGTGAATAAATACATAAGTAAACCGAATCCATCTGATTTCAATTTGTGAGAGATTTTACTATTTATAAATCTGGTAAATATCATATATTTTATCTTCAACCTCCTATAAATTATTCTGCAACATTATATCTGGTTTTCATCAATTTCATCAGTTTCTCATGTAGTTTATTTTCTGCTGCCGATCGTTATTTACGTTGGATGCATATGCAATATATATATATATATATATATATATATATATATATATATATATATATGCATCCATGCATCCATCCATCGAAAAATATTAGGGCTGATAACAATATTTTACACTTCCTTCAAAATTTATATGATCTTTTTTTATATCGGCCTTGCTTACTCTTTGAGGAATTAGTCACCTACAATATCTTATTAATTAATATTAGATTTTATTTTTATATTCTACACTATGTTCTTATATATTCTACACTATTTTTATATGTAACCTATACTATATTTTGATTCTATATATACCCTATTCTATCCTATTAGCTTTTTTTTGCTTTTTACAACTGATTTCTTCATTCATCTTTTCTTCTAAATATGATCAAATTCTATTTAATTTTAAATTTACTATTTTTAGCATTTAAATTTACTACTATTTGTAAGCATTTTTATATTTTAAAATAATTAAAATTCTATTTAATTTTTAACTCAATATTTCAAATTTTATATCATTGTCAAGGATCGATCTGAGGATTTAGGATAACAAACATATGTGTAAATCCTACTCCTAGAATCTTGTGGTCATTGCGGATGATTTTAATACCAAATAGTATTAGTAACTTCTAATGATTTGGATTACACCGATTTTGAATTATTTTTTTCATTTTTTTTCTAATTTTTCTACCAGCTCTCCCATTATTTTCAATGCATACGAATATCGTATGTATGTAAGCATCATGCACTTTATATTGCTACCGGGTCTTAAGGGGGTAGTATGTAGTATGTAGTATGTGAAATTTACATGCAACTTGTACTCTGCCATGACAAATGGACGACGACTAAGTGACAAATAGAAGACGAGGGTTCAAAAGATGAACATCAACTGACTTGACCTCTGGTTGTACTGGATAAAAATCTTTGTTAGAAATAAATATTTACTTAAGAAATACGTGGAAAATTCTTGATAAAATTGATAAACTAGTGTAGTGCATGCCATTGTGTCTTAAGGCAAATTGCTGGAACTTCCCGTACCGTAACTAAAAATCTTGGTACGGAACCCAAAAAAAATTACACAAAATGTGTACACATTATTAAAATCTCTAAAATATCTGATAATTTGATATACATATGTCCAATCAACATTTTTACCGCCAAATGACATTTTTTTAACTTGTTTTTTTGAGAGTCTATAACCGCTGGACCTGCGTTTCCAAAAATTCAATCAGTTCTTTATCTTGTCAATACAAGTACAATGTTTTTTGAATTATTAAATTCGGACGCTCTGTTTTCTTAAAAACTGAGTTACCGTTTTTGGCGCTTTATGCACCGTATCTTGGGAACCGCTAGACCTGCCTTCGGTAAAAACTATTCAGCATGTCTCCATGAATACAAATCGAATGTTTCTTGAATTATTCAAATAGGTTGATCGGTGTTCCCGAAATCGTCGACGAAAATTTGTATCCACACACACACATACATCGATTTTTTCTAAGTCATGCCAAAATGTTCAGAAACCTTTGAAACGTAAAGATATATACAAATTTTTATTTTTGATTTTTTGCGATTACTATAACTTGCCCTACGGGAAGTTAAAAATAGCTTGTATGGTACTTCATAATGACTACTACATAATTTCATCTCCTAAGGTGTTTAGTGTTTATAGTTAGTTAACACATTGTATTGATCTCAGGTGATTTAAATATCTTAAGTTTGCAAGACCAAAGCTCTAACCAATAAGCCTACGAAAAATGCTTTTTTAACTTCCCGAAGAAGAAGTTTGTTTTCATAAAAAAGTCGTATTCGCTAATTTCATGTTTTCTCGACGTTTCAAGCCATTCTGAATCGAATGAGACCAAATTTGGAAAAAATATGTGTGTGTGAACAGAAAACGCCGTAAATCGACGTTTTCTCAAAAAACGGCTGAACCGATTTTATAAATTTAAAAGCCATTCGATGCACCTCGATGAGCGTTTATCAATTTTGCGCGACGATCAGCCATACATTTCTTATAAATTTCTTTGTAAATCGTTGAACAGTGAAAAAAATCTTAACGTTTGCAAAAATTAGTATCGTTTTTTTGGCATTTGTCAAAATTAAACCTTTGATCGACGTTTGCTCAAAAATGCCTGAACCGATTTCAGAAATTGAAAAGCCATTTGATGTATCTCGATGAGATCCATCAAATCTGCCGAATTGTTTCTTTGTAATTTGTTAAAAATGGTTCAATTTTTCGTCCACATTTAAGATCATACTACCTAATCGATTTTAAAAAATCAAAAACTGTTCGAAAGATATTAGTTTGGAATGATATTGATTTTTCTTGTAATTAACTGTTTAAAAAAAATTTCAAGCCTATTTTTATGGAACTTTTTTGGTAATATATATCATGGTCTTATAGAACTTCCTGAAATAATACTGCCTCACGACAAGTAGTTTAATTTTAAAAATTCACAAATGTTTGAGAAAATGAGTAGTTGTTTTGACGTTTGTTAAAATTAAAATTAGACGATTAACTTGGTATAACGATAGAGAACTTAGTATTAATGAACATACTAAACCATTAAAGTCCTACGGTAACTGGTTCAATTATAAAAATTATTGATTTGTGAAAATTTGCTTTTAGAAAATACTTCGAGTTAACGTGTTCGTTCGTTTTCAATTATGTGTAAAAAATCTACACGCAATACTTTTAATCACTCATAATTTAATTTTTTTTTTATTGATTAAGTCAATTATTTACACATATTGCAAAGTTCATGTAACATGCCTCAAGGCAAAATACCAATACCAACTAGTTATGATTTTTCCATGTGATTACTAATGATAATATTGATCTCAAGAGTATTTGATTCCATAATATCTTGCGCAAATATCTCTCCCGATATAAAATATCGTAAATGCGAGCAAGACTTAACATTTTTATAGTTTAATATTGACATTTAACGCTTAGGTATCAGAAACGATAAAATATATATTAGAAAATAGCTGCTTTGTATTTTATTATTACCATCAAATACGCCAATAAAATAAATACTGTACGAGGATATCTATAAAATGAAGTGTATTGATCGCATTGTTACTTATACAGTGTTATAAAATGTTGAGAATTTTATTTCGAAATTATGAAATTAAAGTTTTATTATTGAGATATCAGAATGGCTTGAAACGTCGAAAAAACATAAAATTAGCCAATCGTATGTTTTGATAAAAACATAAACTTCTCCTTCGGAAAGTTAAAAAAGCATTTTTCGTAGTTTAATTCACAAATTGATTAATGATTCTAGAAACTAAAGTTTTTATTATACAAAATTAAAAACCAAAATTATTCTTCTGTAACTTTTATTACTTCATAATAAAACCGTCGTGCAATTATTAATATGGAAGGATTAAATAAATCTCCTAATCATGCAACATGTACAGAATGACAAAATCCATGCATTATTGTTGACAAAATATAACAACAATATCTCCGGATTGCTTTCTGATCCGCTTATGTTGCCGAGGCTTCCGGCTGAATTATTCAAAATGCAATCTGGATACCGGAAAACGGCAGTTGTTAACGCTCCGGTAGGAGGAAAATCTTCCGGGAAATGCAGTTAACTTCCGCCGACGGTATTGAATAGGACTCAATCCGTTCGATGGATAATGAAATGATATCGCATATGCAATTGTCTGCAGAATTGGAGACGATGGTAACGAGGATTTGTTGGAATATTATGGATAAGGGTAAATATTATCTGAGATTAGATGGTAAAGGTTGCAGAAGGTGGAACACGTGGATGGAATTGGAAAGAAATGCCAAGTTTTGTACAAGTTGGAGAAAACTACACTTCTGACCACAGAATTGGAAGGTGATACTAATTTGTAAGGTAGTATCAAGCTTGTAGAATTAGAAGTTAGTTCTGATTTCAAGTTTCCAAAAAGCACATTCCACACATTTTAAATTGCACAAATTTGTGGAAAAAATTGGAAAGTAATGCCAAGTGCAACTTGTTCAAGTATTTTCTTACCAACTACATTTTGGAAAATGGTACTAAGTTTTAAGGTAGTACCAAACTCTTAGAATTGGAAGTAACTATCACTATAATAATATAATTAATATTAGTTATGGTAGATTAACTGACCAACATTCAACAATTTGTAGGCAACATTGTTTCCAAATGGCCAGATATGCCTGTGGCCAGGCTTAATTATTTGCGTGGGATGAGCCATATAGACCAATGTCGGTAAAACTATATAAGCTTTATCTACAAAATGTTCAATTTTTGTACCCAGCCGCTATCGGCTTTAAATTTGACCAATTTAGATTGTATATTGCTTGTAGATTCAGCACACATTAATTTGTACATGAGTAGTTCCAGTTCCAAATTTCCAGGAAAACTACATTTTACATTTTACATTGCACAAGGTGCAGCACGTGGATCGAATTGTAAAATAGTCCCAAGTTTTTGTACAACTTGTTCGAGTATTTATCATAGTGTAAGAAAACTACACTTCAAACTACAGATTTGGAAGGTGGTACTAACAATAAGTTTTAAGATAGTTCCAACAAAACCACATTTTACTTAAGCTACTCTCTCTTGAATTACCGTATCAAGACTAATATAAATATACACCGTGTCCAAGAACTCAACGTCAAACCGAAACGTGATGATAGTCTTGATCATAAATCATGATCATATATCTTGATCATAAATCATGATCATGTATCTTGATCATAAATCATGATTATAAAGTATGATCATATATCTTGAGAAAAGAATGTAGAAATATGTTTTAAAACTATGAGTAATAGCAAACTGGAGCTTTGGTGAAAATTTGTCAACTTTTTTGGTTTATTTGGTTGATTTAGATCCATTTTGTGTCATTATTTTAGACCGTGGTCCTAGATATGTTATTATTGATAAATATTTGCGACAATGATCTAAAAATGGTCACGCTTTTACCAAAGCTGTAGGTTGAACTTTAAAGTTCATAATTTCTAAACAGATATTTATTTTCTAAATTTTTTATGATAGCTATGATCATTAATATCACCCGGTTTTGGCTTGACGTTGAGATCTTGGACACCCTGTATAGATATATATATATATATATATATATATTATATGTATAGATATATATATATATGTATATATATATATTAATTGTTTAATATGAACAAAACAGCACTCAGATTTGTTTAACACAACTTTATTTTATGATTACAGACGTTTCGAGACCATGGTGTGTCTCATCTTCAGTGTAATTTCAAAAACAGTTACTTATATACTACACATTCTTTAATAATTTATTTAAATTTATGATATACAAAAAACACCAACTATCCCTTGCAATGCTTGACACAGTGTGTTTTTTTACAAATTTTATTCTTCCATATGATTATAGTACTTTTAATATGCACAGAGATTCTGGGTATAATTCTCACAGTTTTTTTATAAACTCACTTTTATTTTGAAATTACGAGTTGGGGTTAGTTGAGCATAGTTGCTAAACTTGTTCAATTACCATTAACTTCCAGAAATTAATTATTATTTTTAAGATTTAAGCTAAGTCTATGAGTAATAATATAAAGAAATAATGATTTTAAACAAAAATACTGAATATAATGGTAAAATAATTCCTAAGATACGATATTGTTTTGTTGATTCTACTTTTGGTTAAATATTCAAAGAAAATTACTATAAGTTTTGTTTTCTCTGACAATAAAGACAATAAATATAAAACTGGTTATTAAAAACTTATTTTATTTCATCACTAATCGTCATTGAACCTATGGGGTACATTGAGCATACTTGACTTTTTGCATTTAAACAGCTGTAGCTTTTAAGTTTTACTTATTACCAAAAAATAGTATTAACACTTTTGTTAAGCAATAAACAACAAATCCATTAAGCCGTATAGCAATTTATTGAGACTTTTCGTTGAGGAGCTACATCCGTTTAAGTAAAAATTTGCTCAACTAGCCCCGCCCTACCCTACATACTGGAAATTTTATTTTCAATTTTATCTGATATAAAATTTTATATCTGAGTTATAAAAGAAAAATTTAATATAGATGTATAAAATCGTGTTTATAATTTAAACAGAGAAAATTCGAATGCTCTAAAAATCTATGAATACTCATAAATAAACATTAAAAATTTTAAAAATAATTAATAATAACAACTAATAAAATATATTTAGTAAGATATATTACAATTAATAAAATATATCGTAAATATAATAAGATAAATTGTATAGACCCGGCGGTACCCTTATTAATAGAAGCATCAACTGTATTATATATATATATATATATATATATATATATATATATATATATATATATATTTCATTAAAACTTTATTATTATATAGTGTTAATATGCATCATAGAAAGTTCCAGAAGTTGTAATACATGTCTGAAATAACATTAGGTCGGAAAGTGCCGGAAGAAAAACTTTTGCATTCAGCATAACTTTCAACGAAAATAACTTTTCTATATAAATATATATATATATATATATATATATTTATATATTTATATATGTTATTATATTTGCGGAGATTGCCTGAAAATATAAAGTAATTTTTTAAGGATTCATTCATAATGCAAAACTTCTTGATTTTGGAACTTGCCATGACGTAAACTTTCTATTGTAAAATTTTAGTAGTAAATATTTGATTCCAGTAGATCGACCAGGATTTTATGATGACCAAAACTGGATTTTATCAAATCATATTTCAATATTTGTTCAATATTTCACCTTCGACTGTTTTTCATCTGGGTTTGACAGGCAATATCTCAACCGGTATTGATTGACAACAACCTGAAACTATGCGTAGATCGAGGTTGGTGTGCAACGCATAGAAAATCGCCCATAAGCCCTATAAATATGATTAAAGCTAAATTTAGAGACAAAGGACAGAAAATGTTTATTATAGATTAGGGTAGATTCCAAACCGTAGATTCAGTATCTGTGATAAAAATTCAAATATTTTGTTCTAAAAATATTATTTCAATTTTTATACTCAGACTGTACTTCAGACTATTTAGTGGAGTTAACATCAAGTCTATATGTTCTCTAATATTTTGATGATATTTTATACAGGTATAATAATAAAGAAGAATTCAACGTCAAGCCGAAACGAGGTAACAGTATTGATTATAACTATCATGAAACAAATGAGCTTTTAAGTACTTAAAGCTTTGGTATAACTTTTACTAGACAAAATTATTGACACAGTTGCTCCTTGAAGTAAGATGTAAAAGTATCATTGAAATAGGACTATTTGTTGTATAATTTGATAAATATGTACAAACATAGAAAAATTAAAAAAAAATCTTGTACTTCCTCCAATATTGTTATATTCTCACAATCTAAACATTCAACTTTGGAATCCGGGTCGGTAACTCAGTCGTTAAAGTTTTAAATTTTGAAAGAAAAAAAATGTATATATATATATATATATATATATGTATATTTAATTATTATTATTATGGACCAAAAATATGATTCATTTAATAATCCATTTAATTTTGGCACACTGAGCAAGAATTGCACATGGACCGAAACGTGTGTTTATTTAATACATGTACCATGGTACATTTATAATTAATTTTCCTCGGATATATTTGGGTTACTCCATATTTATATACGACCTGTTTTAATTTAATATTCTGCCAAAATTATACCTACATATCATTACAGATGAATAAATATAATTCTAATAATATTTTAAGAATATTTTCGTACAATAGGGTTTTTGTACAAATATATATAAAAGTAAGCATATATGTATTCTTGTGAATATGTAGATGTTATGTGTATACATGTATATATTTATATATATATATATATATATATATATTTCTTATATTTTTCTAATTATTATCTAGTTTCTATCTTTATTATCTCTACTATCTTTTATTATTTTTTATTGTTGACTGTTGCTGTATTGTTATTTTTTCCCTTATACTTATAGTTTTTATACCAAACCACAAATCTTATAATTACCTGGATATATAATTTTTTTCACTTTTTTTAGATGATGACGTTTATAAATCTTTGTTTTTTTCCTTTCGTATATTGCCCTAAAAGTACTTACTCGTATAAAAGTATATATTTATTTAAATGGTTTATGCCTTTTTTAGGTTTTTTCCTAATTTGTTTTATTTCATTATTTTTTTATAATATAAATATTCTTATTTCTTGATATATTATATTTTGATTCATTTATATTTTCTGTTTAATTTACTACTTTTATCTGATACTTATTTACACCACTTTATATACACAACTTTAATTACATTAATAAAAAATAATTAATTGAATAAAAATAAATATCTCATTATTTGTTTATTGAGAGTTGAAGCATAAACTATAATTTCCAAATAAAGCAATAATAAATAAATTAATTAAAATTAATAATTCAAATAAATTACACCTTGTTATTTGACTATAACACAAATTACAATTTGCAAAATTAATTGATTCAATTTGAAGATCATATTGTACAAACTATACATATAATATTTACGATGTAATAATTATTCATGTTATATAATAATTACTAATTATTATGTATTACATATTAATTATTCATGTCTAATTTGATATCAAATTTGATTAGTATAAATACATTTACACACAACAACTTTGGAGATTTAATTATTTTTATAAATGAATATACTTTATATATTTTTAATGGAATTATTATTATTAATATTACTAATATGAATTTCAACAACTTTTGCCACTTAATTCATCTAACTTTTGATATACTAATGCACTTATTCCATAAGCAACCCATTTATGATATCAACAAATTTTGTATAAATGTTAGACCTTTTTTAATCTATTTTTTAT